CACTTTCATTTTTCACTTTCATGCATTGGAGAAGGAAATGGCAACCCACTCCAGTATTCTTGCCTGGAGAATCCCAGGGACGGGGGAGCCTGATGGGTTGCCATCTATGGGGTCATACAGGGTCGGACACGACTGACGTGGCTTAGCAGCAGCAGCAACAGCATTGCTTCTATTAAGATAAGGAAAAACAGGTGAGCATCTAGGCCTGAAATCAGCCTGTGTGCTCATTCTAAGTTTAGAGGAGTGCAAGACCGTTCAGTAACAACTCTGGTCTAGAAATCAATGTGCATAGGCCAGGTGAATATTTTAATGGGTACCAGTGGTGAGTTGAGTCAAGCATGAGTCAGGTATAAATGGAAACAGTTTTATTACCTTTTGGGGGAATAATCAATGACTAGTTGCATGCTGAGATTTTAGTAAGATTAAACTGAACTCCAGGTCCTTATTAATTATATTCAAGTAATCTTAGCATTAACTGTGTGCTAGCCATTGTTCTAGGACTATTAAGTATTAACTCCTTTTATCTTACCAACGAGGTAGGTACTATAATTAGGTAACCAGCTTAGTGGGATTTAATGCTTTGCTTGGAGGCAGGCACTCTGCCCCCAGGTACCATGTTCTTCACTCTGCTTGGGGGTTACAGGTGTTGACCCTCCAAACAGTTGAAAATCCACTTATAACTTATAGTCAGCCCTTTCTACTCAGGTTCCTCCCTATCCCCAGATTCAGCCAGCCACTGACTGACCATGTAGTATTTACCATTGAAAAAACTCCGTGTGTACATGGACCTGCACAATTCAAACCCATGTTGTTTGAGGGTCAATTGTATTTTAAATTTTGCTATTATCCTTCTGAACCTCTTAGAAATTACCAAATTTCTTGTACATATCTGCTTGGATTTATGAAATAAGTGAATCTGAGAGAATGAATACCAATTAAATAGAAGGTGAAGTTCAAATCAATCAGAATGCCTTTTCAATTTTGTTAATCTTTTAAAATAAGTCCGTCCAATTTTTTTTTTTTTAAGTAAATCTAGAAAGCAAAAGAGGATCTTAAAAAACATTTAGTCCAAGTTGCTTGTTTTACAGATGAGAAAACAGAGTCCAGAGAGATGCAGGGATTTAACCTTCATGAATATTTTCTACATTACCATCCTGAAAAGTGCTTAGAAAGAAGCTAAGGATATTTCCATAAATTTAAGTTTCAAGTCAAATACAAATTCAAGATCACTTGGCTATCTAGCTGAGGCCCTTCTGTCATTAATTATACTAACAGTGTATGTTCCTGGATATCTGCTTAAAGGTCACTCGCAGCAAAGAGGCCTCTTATTTCACAATAGTGAGTCTTTAGATTAAAAATTAACAGGAAAAGTATCTTTGGATTTTCCGTTGTAAGCCAGATTCCTAGCTTGGAAGTTGTCTTATAATATCAAGGTGCCATCTCCAGGAGGTTGAATGCCACAGACCTTCAGTAATCTATCTGGGGAGAGCCCTAGGCTTTGGGCTAGGAGCACAAAGGGGGCAACCTCAGACCCCCTGCCTCCTCCCCCTGCCTCCCCCACCCGTCAACATGGGTCTGCATCTTTCGATTTGACAGTGTTAATACAAAGGTGGGGCTCATGCTAGCACTGAGACCACTCACAAAGCTATACAGTCTGTTCCTCTACAAATACCCTACTGATCTCCTAAAAAACAAACAAAAAAACACTTTTGAACTAGGGGAGTCAAGAATGAAGAGGAACTTGAGATTTGGGGATTATTTAAATTGTCTAAAATTGCATCTTCACAGAGGTTAGATTTACCTTCCTTCCATTCACCCCCCCACCCCGCCAAAAAAAAGACAAATTCATTTCTGTACTTGAGGAAATCTGGCCCTTGGAGCTTGGTGTGCAGTTGCTGTTGTGAAAAGACAAACCTCAGGGTGGTTTTCATATCATTTCTTTATAAAGAGGGATACTGTTGGCCAATACATCCGTTTGTGTGTTCAGCAAAGAGCCTACTAAGCACCACTCATTGTTGCTCTTGACAGTAGGCAACACACCTGGATGTGTTATCACAGATAAATTCTGGGCAGCACATGGGGGCTGGAAGAGCTGAGAAAAGCTGCTGGGCGAAGGTAACACTTGAGGCGGAGCTTGTGTGCGTGTGTGTGTGTGTGTGCTGCTGCTGCTAAGTGGCATCAGTCGTGTCCGACTCTGCGACCCCATGGACTGTAGCCCACCAGGCTCCTCTGTGGCATTCTCGAGGCAAGAAAACTGGAGTATGTTGCCATTTCCTACTCAGGGGATCTTCCTGACCCAGGGATTGAACCCGTGTCTAACATCTCCTGCATTGGCAGGTGGGTTCTTGACCACTAGTGCCACCTGGGAGAGCTTGTGAGTTTTAATGACCATCTAGGCTGCACCACTGAAGCCAGCTGTGAGTGCTGTCTGCTGCCCAGGGGCTGGGTGATGAGAGGCACGTTCGGAGGGTTGGAGCCGCGGAAGCCAATCCTGCCAGGTGGCTGTACTCACCGTGTCCCTCGTCTTTTCCCAGCTGAGAAACCTGCAGCAGTGGTATATTAAGGAGTTCAAAGACCCTCTGCTCCAGAACCACCCGGTGTGGTTCAAGTCCTTCCTGTTCTGCGAGCTTGTGTTTCAGCTGCCTTTCTTTCCCATCGCAGCATATGCCTTCTTCAAAGGTGAGTAAATGGAAAAATTCCATTTTTGCTCTGCGACCAGGTCTCAGAAATCTTTGGGGAAAGTTCCACCAAGGAAGGGGAGTGGTCCCTGGTGGATATGTGAGGATGATACAGGAGGTGGTGGGAATGGTCAGGATCGATCTTGTAAAGGGACATCAGTGTGGCTCAGGATAGTGTCTAGGATCAGTGCAGCTGCAGGACTGCCTTAGTCAACTGGAAGTCTCACACACATGTCACCTGAGGCTACCTTACAGATTGAACTTGTTCCCTTTTATTGTTTTCCTAGAATTTTTTGTTTTGGCTTTTATTTTTCTGCTTTGGGTAGTATCATACTGGCTTATAAACAGTAGCCGCAAGTCACCCCTAAGTGGCCTGACTTCTCACTAAAAGATTCTTCTTCCAGTGTCCACATATGACTACTGCTTTTAAAAAGAAGGTGGCCATACCAGTGTTGATTGTAAATAAACTTATACAGCTTATTTCCCACTGGAGCCCTCAAATCCAACTCTTAGCAGAATCTGTTGATTCTTCTCATCCATATATACTTACTTAGCAGAGATGCTGCTGGCAGAGCGTCCCTGCTCCCCACCCTCTGTATTTGAGACCAGCTGAGTTTACCTCATAACGGCCATTTTACTGCCCTAGAGCTTTTCTGAATTCCGACTCCACCCATGTCCTTCGGCAGTCAGTACTAGGGCTCCAGCTGTCACATAAGGACTGCACATTGGACGCTATTATATCACATCCAGTTTTCCATTTCTTTCCACTTGGAAAGGGAGGTAGAATGAACTGAAGGGAGCAGGCAGAGACGGGGTGGAGGGTATGGCGGGCTCCCCTGGAGCCACGAGCAGATCTCACCCTGCTCTTTCTCTCCTCGCTGACCTCAGGAGGCTGCAAGTGGATCCGTACCCCTGCCATCATCTACTCGGTTCACACCATGACAACTCTGATTCCCATCCTCTCCACGTTGCTACTCGACGATTTCTCCAAAGCCAGTCATTTCAGAGGACAAGGACCTAAGACTTTGCAGGAACGACTATTCCTGATATCTGTCTATATCCCCTACTTTCTCCTCCCTCTTATACTTCTGCTTTTCATGGTGCGGAACCCCTACTACAAGTCTGAGGAGAAAAGAAAGAAAAAATGAGAGAAATGCCCCTGGGTCCAGGGGAGAGGTGACCGCTGGGCAGTTTCCTGTTGGACCCAGTACCAGGAACAGTGCTCAGACCCATGTTTTCAGTAGTATCTGAACCGCAGCAGCAGCAACACGCATGAGCAAGACCCTGGCAGGAGGCACAGCAGACCAGTCGCACCTTCACGGGCTTTGACACAGACAGACTGGTCACCCGAGGACGGGCAGAGGGGTGCAGGCTGGGTGACCGCCCAGCAGAGTGGTGCCAGAGGTCTCCTCGGCGTGCCCCCAGGTGCCACTGCAGGATTACCAAAAGCAGAACCAGACCAGAAATGAGATAAACTTCCAAGAAACATGGCCTGCTTGGCATGTACCTGAGTCATTTAACTCGCAGGATACATGTGACTAAAACTATGACTCACGAGTCTCTACAGAATATCACTGATGAGCAAAATTCAGTTTGAAATTATACCTAATATTCATTAAAAATTGTTTCCTTGCCCCTACCCGTAAGTAGGGGTGAAATATTCTGTAAGAGGTTATAAATTTAGTTTTCCTTTAAGATTCAACCTTGGCATGACTTTCAGTTGGAAATGGGTCAGACTGGAAGGTATATTGTTTCTGTCCTAAAATAGGTCATCCCAGGAGAAGAGAATTTTTAACGTCTCCTTTTTCATTCTCTTTCTAAACCTTAGTCTTCCATTAGTGTTTACAGACCACATGAGTTCCTTTACTCTGAGGTCTGGTGTCTCAAGCCTGAGCTGGAGGAATGCTTCCTACTGGGTAACTTCATCCTACCAAACAGTTTCATAATTCTTTGTCCTGTACCCAGTTGGGGTAGGGGTGGGGGGCTGGCCATGACAGGTCCAGTGTGTGCCTATAAGGTCTCTTTATTTGGTATCCTGCTTGCTTTAAGTTCATACTCGAGACCGACTCAAAAAGACTTGTCAACGCACATGAAAAATGGTAGATGCTGGTCCTGGTTAGTTCCCCCTTTTTGCCTGTTTTGCTTACAAGTCCTAATGGTCTGACTTTGGGAAATATCATCTGACTTGTGTGTCTGGTCAAAATAAAGGTAGCTGCTGACCACTGCCTGGTTTGGTTTGTGGACTAAGGGCTGGAGAGTCCAGGGTTCTTACAATGGGTTAATAAATGTACACTTCAGGGACACCGAAGAGAGGCAGATCAAGCCATTTGAAAATAATAATTTATTGCTTTTCCTTCCAAAGCTTTGTGAATTTACAAAAAATAAGTTGACAGGCTGCTCAGTTCAGACTGAGAATGCAAGAGGTGAGAACCTGGGCCACGATGGCCCCTGGATGTTCGCCTGCAGACATGCACTGACATCCGAAACAAATTCCCCCAGGTTTGTTATTGCCTGCAGAGATGCTGCAGTTCCTCACACAGCTTCTCACATGACACCCCTGGGTCACTGGTCAGGTCATGGAATGGTGCAGAGGTGGTTTTGGTTTGGGGGTTGTGGGGTTTTTTTCCTTTTTTTGCCCTCCTGCTAGAAAATGAAATTTTCAGTTCATTTCTGAAAAATAAATTGGTCAATAAACTCATTTTGTTCTGCTTCTACTTTACACAAAGCTTCATATTCAACCCGATACCTGAAAAACAAAATTGTTAGAAGCCCTCAAAATGGATGAAATACACCAGGAACTTAATTCTTCCAGAGAAGAATAGAAGTGATTTAGATGATTCCAAGAAATGGTGTGAGTTCAAAATGAAGTTAGTGAGGGCAAGAGAGAGAGAAAAATGAGGCAAAGCTCTACCTAGGGCCACCCCTGAGAAGTCTCCAGCCCTAAGAAGCTTCCTTGCAGAGAGCCAGCCAACTCCAGACACAAGTGTGTGTGCCCTCACACTACTAGAGGTTGTCTGACTAACAAATTTTCTTCCCATCAAATTAATTTTATTTTTAAAATCTTCAAATCAGGATGATAAGACACTATTCCTGGGAGAACAATGATGAAGAGCAAGGGTAAAAGATGACCATTCAAGAGGAAAAACAAAATTGCAGTTGAGTAAAGAACTTGCTTTACAACAAAACTTACCTTTCAAGCTGCATTTTCTTTTCTGCTATTAGTGCCTGGAGTTGCTGCTGTTGGGCTTCTCTCTGTTTTGCTATAGATTTGAGCAAGTTCCGAGCACCAATGGCCTAGAAAAACATTGCCAAAGAAGGTCATGGCTTCATTAAAGTCCTCAACTGGGGAAGGGACATGGGGGCTCTGTGGGGGTGGAATGGAGGGGAGCAAGGAAGGTCGAGCCTCAGAGTTTTAGGAGTAAGTCAGAAGGAAGCTTAACCTCCTGATCCCAAAGTGCCTGGTGAGAACGGCTGCAGCTTAGCATCTGCAGACCTAGAATCTAGGGCCTGGCACACAGTGGCCCATCTGGTGCACCATTTAGCCTTGTGTCCTTTGCCAAGTCATCTGTACTCTGCATGCATTCATTTATAAAGTGAGGGTAAACCACCTATCATATCCATCATATCTCAGTGATGATGTGAAGATTAAAGGAAACAGTATACTGGCATGTAAGAGTTCAATAGTGGGTTAACTGGACCAGGAATTACTTATTTGTAAATTGCAGTATAATTGACATATATTAGTTCCAGGTATACAACATAATCATTCAATATTTGCACAGGCATTCTTATTTAAAATCTTATTTTAATTAAAGAACTCCCCATCACCTAGCCCTCCCCACCAAAAAAAAAGTGGGGACTTCCCTGACTGTCCAGTGGTTAAGAATCTGCCTGCCAATGCAGGGACATGGGTTCAATTCCTGCTCTGAGAAGATCCCACAGGCAACAGGGCAACTAAGGCTCCGCGCTGCAACTACTGCCGCAGCCTGTGCCCCGCAGTGAGGAGCCACCGCAGTGAGAAGCCACGCACGACAACAAAGCACAGCCTGGCTCCCCACGAGAGGAAGCACACACGGCAGCAGTGAAGACCCGGCACAGCCAGAAATAAATAACCTTTTTAAGAACCAGATTTAAAAAGGGGGGGGGGGGGCAGAAGCATGAGAGGCTAGTGAACCAGGCCGGAAGTTAAAAAATACATGCTGATCTTACCTTCATCTTCTCATTCTCTGCTTCCTTTGCAAGTTGGTCAACAAGCTCAATTAAGCCACCAACTATTTTCTGAAACTGGCCAATTTCTTTTGTGGAAAGAACAACAAAAACAAATATTTTATTTTTCAGCATCACCACTCTCCCTCACCATTTCCTTGTGGTGAGAGGGCAGGGCTAACCGCCTCTTCTAATTTGTGTGAAGAGCCATTTGGTGTCTGACAGCCTTGGTCTGAACCTAGAGAAGGGTGGCCATGAGCCCAGAGCTGGGTTGGAGTGTATTTGGATCTTGAGTCCCCACTGAAGCAGCCAAAAGCTGTAGCTCGGGCTGTGGGGCTCCTGATGGGCGCACCTTGGGGATGGACTGCATCCTGCTGTCCTAGGAATGACAGGAAGCACAAAGGGCTGACCTCACGAAAGGACCACCCCAGGATACGAACACTGCCTCTGGACAGCCATGGGTAAGACACTAGATTTGAGCTGCTGGGGAGTGGGGGCTTTCTACCTGTGACCAGGGCTAATAAAAAGCTCAAAACATTTAAGGAGTTAATCTCTCATTTGTTCTTTCCCATGTCCCTGGGTATAGTGGAACCCGTGTTACTGAGGAGTAAACCAAGACCCAGAGGGTCTGAACGCATGCACACAGCGTTCACAAGACTGGTGAGAGAAGCCACTACCTTCCGCCAGTCAAGCTCTCTCCAGAACCTAGACTCCCCAGAAGGTTCAGATACAGGCTACATCTCTATGTTTGCTGCTACTGGGCTTCTTTGGCTGCTGAGACAGGAAGCATCCTGGCTATCACTAGCTTTAAAAAAAAAAAAAAAATGACTTCATTGAGTCTTTTGAACTGCCTCTCCAAACTCCAGGCGATCAACTCTCACTCCAAACAATGGCAAGTCTGCCACTGAGAACACTATTTCTCCCAAGAAATCAAATCCTGTTTCCCACCCCCAAGTCATGGTTCTGAAGTTGGAGGTTCCTGGGGACGGCCTACCTAAACAAACACCCTCCTGTTTCCATTGCCGTGTTTGATTGGTGCCCTGGGCCTACCCAAGAGCATAGGAGGGCACGCAGACAAGGTGGGTGGCACATGGGAATTCAGGAGGGCCAGGTTCAACCTCCTGGGAGCTAGCAGCTCTGCTTGGGCAGGGCCCAGAGCTGCAGTTGGGGTGGGGGCGAGACACAAGGCTGAGTGGACCATGTCCCCCAAGGCGAGACTCACTGTCCACAAAGGCCTTGCATTCTTCCTTGAGCTCTATGGTCTGCTGGGTAACCTCCGGGTCCAACACCCGCAGCTTGTTCAGCTCATCAAAGTGCAGCCCGGCTTCAGCCAGGACGTCCTTGGCCATGGCTGTAAAGAAAGCAGCCCCAGCCCCCGATCACTTCCCAGCCCCTCAAAGAGAAGCCAGCTTCCAACCCAGCCCCACTCCTGGCCCCGGACACCAAGGCCAAAAGCCCAGATGTTCCAAAGGCTCCCCCTTCCCTCTGCCTCCGCCTCTCTGAGCCTCACCTGTTTGCCTTCCAGCTTCCTCCCCAGAGAAGAGAGGTTCTGACAGGGTCAGCCAGGGAGAGGTGTGTCATAGGAGCAAGGGTCAGGAAAGAATAAAGTCCAGTTGCTTGTCACAGGCATCGTTCATTCAACATACATTCCTGGAGTGCCAACTACATGCCAGCACTGCTAGATGCTGGGGATAAAGATGCGTGCAACATGGTGCCCGCCCTGGAGGAGCAGAGTGTAGCTGGAGGAAGACAGACACGTACACTGAAAAATCACACTGTTAAGTGCGCTTACAGAAGTGTCACTAAAGAGCTGGAGGAAAAGAGAACAGTTAACTTGGGGTGAGGGTGCTGGGAGCCATAGCATATTTATTTATCCCCAGTTTTGTACCCAAAAGGACATACAAGAGCTTTTCAAATACAGAGCTGGAACAACATGAAAGATAAGTAAAAGAGAAAATCTGAGTGAATTAAAAATTAGGGTTAAAAATAAACACAGGAAAAAATAAACACAAGAAGCCAGGGGTAAGAATATTACCCATAATGTATGCCACAGGCACACCTGCCTCAACTGGGACCCAAAGTTGGGTCAGTCTCTTTCCAGCAGAAAACACAAAAAAGAGTGAAACATTAGCGAGAACATGCCAAGTAAGCAGGCCAGGGCAAGGCATTCCAAGCAGAGAAAACAGCCTGGACAGGAGCACAAAGCCATTGGAAGGGCCTATTCCTGACTAGAAGTTGAAAGGACAGGATGGAGAGGGAAAGCCAGGTGGTGCCAGATCAGAAACTGGCACTAACTGTGGGCCAAGTTAAGGAGTTTAGCTTTTTTCTGTAGATGAGAACCAGCAGAAAGATCTTCTCCCTTCCCAGGCCACCTCACATTCCTGGTCCAAAGGATGCCTCAATTCTGGGAAGGAAACACTGAAAATTCACCCTCCTTCTGGCTTAAACACACATACAAAATAAAAATAAGAGAGCACATGCCCTGTCTAAAAAGGGAGGCAATGCTACTTAGGTCTAGCCATTGGCTGCTACACCAACTTGGAAACCCCCGGTGTTCTGAAGGCTACCACAACCTGGTCCTTCCCTCCCACCTCCCCCAGCCTCCCTTGTTTCCCTTCCCATTACATTAGAGAAGTTCTGTTCTGAATGGGGTGATTCTGGGAGCAACCTGCCGGGGTAGGTATACCACAGAAAGAGCAATGGTTAAAAAGAATTAAGTTCCATTGTTGCCAGAACTGATTTTCAAGAGGACCCGAAATCCAGATTTACATACGCAATCTGACTTTTAAAGAAGAGTATCTCCTTTAATTCAAAAATTTTAAGTAAGAAAAAAAAAAAACCACCCAAAACCCACATCCAAGATTGCGTGGGCCAACTAACGCATGTCTAGTTGCGTATGACTGGCCCAGGGCCTTTGGTCTCACTGCAGTCCATTCAAGTAAGTCAGCTAGCACCTTCCTTTTGAAATACTTTAATCATCCAGAGTTTCCTTGTAATTGGGCTTTTTAAAAAGATGTCTTCCTATTTGTTCTATTTACACATATAGTCTAAGTCAGGGGCCCCCAACCTCCAGGATCTAATGCCTGATGATCTGAGGTGGAGAATGCACTTGAGTCATCCCAAAATCATCACCCCCTCCCTGCCTCTGCCCACCGACCGTGGAAAAACTGTCTTCCATGAATCTGGTCCCTGGTGCCTAAAAGGGACCGCTTGTCTAAGCATTTAGCACCTACCAGGTGAGTGGTAAAGAATCAACCTGCCGATGCAGGAGACACAAGAGACACAGGTTTAATCCCTGGGTCAGGAAGATCCCCTCGAGGAGGAAATGGCAACCCACTCCAGTATTCTTGCCTAGAAAATTCCATGGACAGAGTAGCCTGATGGGCTACAGTCCACGGGGTCACAAAAGAGTCATAAACGACTGAGCACACACACAAGTAACTAACCAGACAAACTGATTCAAATAACCAGAGGGCACAGAAATCTGCTTCAATCTGCACTCCCTTCCCAGAGAGCTTGCATTTATTCACAAACATCTACTGAGGCCCTGTCCCGGGAATAGTGTAGTGAACAAAATGCTTCAATGCTTTAAGTTCCCGACCTCTCGACAGACAGTAAACAAATAATCACAAATTGTGATAATATTATGAGGAAAAGCATACGGTGCTACATGAAGCTGTAGCAGGAGGATAAAATTCATGTGGACACAAAATTACCCCCAAAAATTATAAACAAAACTCTTCTGAAAAAGTGACACGCTGAGAAGTAAAGGCTGTCCAGAAGTTTGTCAAGTGAAGGGAGGAGGAGGTATTCTGGGCAGAAGGAAAAGCGTATGTGAAGATGCTGAGGCTATGAGAAATGGAACCTGTAACAAGAGCCAAGAGGCTAGTGTGGTTGAAAGACTGAGCAAGAGAGAGAGAGAAACAGGATGTGGTGAAATGGTAAGGCTAGGGCTGGATGGTGGAGGGCTCTGAAAGCTGCAGTAATGAGACTGGATTTTCTCATAAGCGTTTAATGGGTAGCCACTGGATTCTCAGCAGAGGGGCATAATCAGACATGCCCTTTAGGGAGATCACTCTGACCCAGGATGGAGAATGGGTTGGAGGAAATAAGAGAAGGGAGCTACAACTATCTTGTTCATCACTGTTACCCTAGCATCTAACATGATGCCTGCACAGAAACTGGCACTCAGCAAATGTGTGTGGTATGAATGACTGTGAAATCAGAGCAGGCTATTTCAGTAACCAAGGCTTGGAGCGGAAGAAAAGTGTTCCGATTTGAGATGTTTTGTAAGTCGAGTTAATAGGACTCTGTAAAGGATGACTGACGCAGGAGTGAAAGAGAGTCAGGCAAGATTCCCGCGTACCTGGCCTGAGCCAGCTGCACGGCTGGAAGGGATAATTGAATGAGAAGGGTCGGACCAGAGAAGAAGCGGAGAGGGTTCAAAGCCGACTACCGGATTCTCTTTCAACTCCCACCACATCTGAGGAACACCGGGAACAAGAGCCGGACTGAGCTCCAGGAAGATGAGAGCGGTGACGCGCTCTCCTCCAAACCCACCCCCGGGTTCTCCCCTGACCCACGCTGGACGCTCCGAGCAGGCTCCACCCGTGGGGTGTGGGAAAATTAGGAGGACCTGGGTGTGGAGCTCGCGTCTTAACTATGTAAACTGCTTGAACTTAATCTGAGCCGCAGTTTCCTAAGATAATTGCGAGCAGCAACGCGTAAAGCTCCAGGCCCTAGCCGGGGGTAAAACCGTTCCCAGAGCCTGGCGGAATTCCCATGTTTCTTTCGCCCCGGGATTGCTTTTCCTCCGGACGCGAGCCTGTTAGGCTCATCTCACCCCCGGCCTGCCCCAAGCCCGCCAACCCGGAGTCACGGCCTACCTGTTCACCCAGCAGCGACAGCGCCGGCGACCCAGGCTAACGTCGGCAGTCAGCGCCTCCCTCCAGTCGGCTACAGCCGACACCCGCCCAGCAGACTCAGCCGCTGCCACGGCGACAGAACCTGTTTACCTCCAACGTCACTTCCCGACGCCGGAAGCACTTAGATCAACAGAGCCCGCAGGGCCTGCAGGGAAACAGAGGCCTGAGAGGAGTGATAACTGCCTACGAGACCCAGAGCCTTTGCGCCGGAAAGGCTGCCGGAAGCAGCTATGCGCTCAGCGCAAAATACTCCAGGGGCCCCTCCCTCCGCACTGATTGGGTGCTGGGCCTGCCCCGCCTTCTAGTCTCAGGCTCCCGCCGGCTTGGGGCGGAGTCCTCTGGTGGAGGATCTGAGTTTCGGCCCGGGATTGCTGGAGCTCGAGCGGCCACAGTTCGGGGGCGGCACGGTGTTGACTTGCAGTCCAGCTGAGAGGAGAGGCGCCACCAGAGAGGGTGAGAGCCGAGCCGCCCCATGCCCTAGGGGAAGGGATGGTTGGGCCCTGAGCTGAGCAAAGAGAGCCCCACACGGTCTTGGGGAAAAGGCGTGGGACGGCGAAGGGAGGTGGAGAGCTCAAATCCTCCCCTGGGGATGGATGTCAGAACCGGTCTGTTTCTCAGTAGTGAGGAGGGATACGAGTTGGGAAAGACTACACTGGCATGGAGAGGTTGGGTCTCGATAAATTTCCCCACACCCTTTGGATTTAGCAATAGAATTACACCTTGGATTTTCTGCTAGATCCGCCCTCTCTGACCAAGATCGGCTCCTCCCCTCGCTATCCCTGGTGTGACGAATTTCTGGGACCTTCTTTCCTTAGGACCCCACCTTCTAACACCGCCGTGATTGTTTGCCCTTTATTCCGCTTAGGTTCCCATTCGCTTTGCCTAGTATGACACAGATAGGCCCCTAGCATCCCCAAATACTCACACACAAAATCCGGAAGGAAGAGCTCTGAGGCTCTCAGTGGAAACTTCATTTTCACTGGAATTACCTTCTGGGACGTCACCTGCCACAGGATTCCTGGAACCTATTGGCCTGGGCGGAATCTGAGCAACTGGAATCTCAGCTGACGTCATCCAGGGGCTCAAAGCAATTGCTTTGTTGGAAAAGAATAGATTAGTTTGGATTTGTCTTCCTTTGTTGGCAGCCGCCTAACCTTTGGTGAGCTCCTTTTCTTTGATCTTGGTGAAATTGGGGCTAGACACAAAATGCATAGAGAACTTGTTAAAACCTGTTAAGGGGTGGATTTATTCCTTCCGGGTGGGCAGAGTTTGGTAAAGTAATCTCATACCATTCAAGCTTACTTACTGATTGGGCAGTCTGCTGAGGCGGGGCACTCATCTCATCCATACTAGACAAACCACCAGAGGCGTTCAGTATTTCATACAGCACCTGTCCTGGCCCTTCCTTGGACATTCTTCCCAGGATGAATGCTCAGTCACTCAGTCATGTCCAACTCTTTGCAACTGCATGGACTGTAGCCCCCCAGACGCCTCTGTCCATGGGATTTCCCCGGGCAAGAATACTGGAGCGAGTTGCTCCAGTGGTTGAGTTCCTTCTCCAGAGGATGATCCCGATCCAGGGATTGAACCTGCATCTCCTGTGTTTGCAGACAGGTTCTTTACCACTGGTGCCACTGGGGACCTACTTAAATCTTTTGGGGACAATTTCAGTCTAACAAATTGACAAATACTTACAAATGTGCGTGGCATTGTGTTAAGCACTGTTTGGAGAGTGGAGTAGTAAATGTGGGAAAACCAGTGCACTTCTGGGTTACACTTAGAAGAGATAATGATGTAAACTTCAGCATGCTGTGATAATGAAATGAGGTCATTTCACTTTTTTCTGACTCCCATTACCAGCACTGTAGTCTAAGCCTTCATTGTCTCTTGCCTAGACTTCTGGTCTTCACACTTGCTCTCTTGCATTCAGAGAGTCCACTCTCTACACAGTAGCCAGGGTGATCTTAGATCATATCCCTTCCCTGCTCTAAACCCTACAATCAATCTTCATTGCAATTAATATAAAATCCAAACTCTTCATTATGATCCACCCCTGCCTTCCCTGACTTCGCATCCAGCCATCTTCCCCCTTCTTTCTTTGCACCAGCCACCTTGGCCTTATTTCTGCTTCTAAAACTTGTGTCTGACTGAGGAACTTTGCACCTACTCTTCCATCTGTCTGGAATGCTCTTAAGAGCTTAGCTGGAATGTCACCTTCCCAAAGAATCTTACCCTGGCTTCCCATCTAAATGAGTTCCTCTTCCTAGTCACTCGCTTTGTTTTATTAAGTACATTTTTCACTTCTGAAATTGCCTGCTTATTTTTTCATTTTCTTGTTGTATGTGTCTTCCCACTATGAGGTAAGCTCCACAGGACTGACTCTTTTGTTCTCATCTGTATCCCCAGCACCTGGCACAAAGCAGGGACACGATAAATACTCTTATTTTTATTCTTGTTAATGAACAAGAATATTCACACTTCTTTGAATTCCTGAAGTCAAGGACAGTGTCTTTTCATCTCTTCCTCCTGCTTAACTTGGTAGGCACTCAATATCGTTTCATTGACAAATGAGTTAAATGAGCTGATGATATATATGCCTTGAATAGTACCTGGAACAAAGTAAACATGCAAAGAATGTTGGCT